CTGTACAATATCGCTGTATAATTGTACTGTTATTTGGACAGTATTCGCTGCGGTTGGATAATAAAAGGAGGTATTTCTATAGCCTGCGAAAACATCCCGGCGAGCGAAAACGAATTTGGGGAACGAAGCGAGGGGGCATGTAGACATTCATTTCTATTCTGTAGACATTCTATTCTCCCCGCCCTGCCCCGATCGTTTTGCTCTCCGAATTATTCAGTTTCGCGCTTGTTCGCGCTCAGTTTCGCCCTCCACGGTTCGCTTCGCTTGTCGAATTTTTGTTCCGTCTTCGCCGGGAACCTGTTCGCAGGCAAGAATTTCTAAAAGCAGTTGTGTGTTCCGTTTCCGGACTGATTTATTAGTTTAGTGTGTTGGGAAATTTGCGGAGAACTGGCGTCACGAATATGCTGCATAAGAAGATGGCCTCAACTATTCATTATCTAACACCATACAATTTCGTAACAACTCATTTTTGTCACCTTTATTTTGCATTTCTAACTAGAGGGGGCGGATGTGCAAAGACTTCTTTCTGATTGGTTCACTGATTCTCGGTCACCAGCCATTATACCGTATATGGGAGGTGGGCATGGCAAGTTTGGTTTACTTTACAGGGAAAAATTGCTGTAAATACCATATTTGGCACGCTTTCTACCGCGAGAACGTCATGCCGATACCATCCACAAAATGTCACAATTACCTACTACCTTAGAGTTTTGTAATGTGTAACAAAGGAGACTGGATGAAGAAGAACAGCAGCACTGAAAAACTGACACCATATCGTTCAGTAAGTGAAAACAGAGTCAGATGAAAATAAAGTTTAGCACTCCAGTAGAGTTTGTTATCAGTCAAACAAAGTCAAGGTATTTTTATTTTTAATTTTTAACAGATGGCCTAAGAGCTGCCGGGTTTATGGCCTTGTTAAATACAAAATATGTCGGGGTTCGACTGAGCAGCTTTGCCGCTTTGGCCGGTTTTATAAAATTTTTATTATAAGTGTTTTACTATTCCTATAGAAATTGCTTTACGAGGGAGATGGGCCTGAATTGTTAGCTTCACAAAGCCTAACATTTTAAATATGTGACGTTTCCAACGACACACAGTCCAGTGTCTTGGAAATTATTTCCTAAATTCAACTCAACGTACTTCGAATTTAAAGTTTTTGCTGAGCAAATTGAGTCGCGGTTTCCACTGCTTTCTTGACGCAGCCAATGTTGGGCCCAGATCCCTGCGCAGACACATCTTTTCCGCCACATTTGCCGCCTATCAACCCCGCCACAGACTTCACCCACTCATCTGCCTTTAGACCTTGCTGAATAACTTCCTGTGAAGCAACAAAAAAATATCACTTCGAGGAAACTCAAACAAAATCACCCAAATAACATTATAGCAGGCGTGTAATAAGTTCAAATAACAAACCTTGGGTACTTGGGCCAGGCAAATAATCTTGCAATTTTCTTCGTCAACACTGAACAGAAGAGCTGCAGTTTTAGGAGCCAGGTTCTTGAACTGTTTCAGCGCAGCGTCGAGAATCTTAAATGAGAAAACCAAAAATTACAGGTAGTTAGTCCATGCTAATAAAAACAGATCCATGAGAACAAGGACGGTAATTTTTAACACTAACCTTCTGATTTGAGCCGGCTTCAAATACATCAACAACATAAGATCTGTTGGGATCTGCTTCAATCATAGCCTTGGCTTTGTCCACTGCCTGAAAAAGGAATGTAACACTTGCTTACTATAATGAACAGTATTCCTTCCTTGAAAACGTTTTCAGCTTTGTAGCGTGGTTTTTACAAGGCAAGTGAATATTGTTTCGGGTAAATCGGGTTTACTTAGTATTTGACTTTATAAAACAATGGTTTTCGGTTTCGGGATAAAANTGACCACTGACCAGTTACTGTGACGTCAAAAAACGTATTTCCGCGGTGTCGGTTAAAACCCTTTTCCCCTCAACATCCATTCTACTGCTAGTTTTAAATTAGCCTCTTGCATGCTAAATATTTACTCAGATAATAAAGCCAATGAAAAGACGCCACTAACTTTCATTCACTCCCAGTTCTTTGATTCATCAAATAGTTCTCTCCTTACTTTTAATTTGCCATTGGCCGGGACAATTTGGTTTCAATCAACACTTTGCATTTCACACCACGAAGTTCTACTTTCTCACAACGCGCCTTCTATATTTTGCCATAAGACAGTTACGAGAAGTTGGAAGAAGATCAGATAACAGGAATAGCTCACCTGCTGCAGCAAGGCAGTCTTTGTTGCTTTGTCAGCATCATCGACAAGTTTCTTAACCGCTTTCAGTTTTGTTCGCATTTCATCTTTACGCCAGGCAGAGATAACGGCAGCGGAAATATCCTAACACAAGCAAAAACAAATCACGGCAACAAGTTCTTTACGCTATGAAAACACACATAGTTTGGGAACTTACATGTGTTCTTCTCTGCTTAAACCTTTTCTATAAAATTGACTGACTGGCAAAATAAGTTCAGTCCAAGCTTTATATTAAAAATAATTGAGAAGCTCTTTCTCCCGAGGCCTCGTCCAAACTACGCCAGAGAAATTTGTTAACAAAACAATCACCGGTCATTTTGGATTTGGGTTTGAGAAAAACTCGGTCAGTGAACTCACGTGATTATTGTGACGCCATCGTTTTCGAAAAGCAAAGTTTTCAAAATGTTTTCCGTCCACACTAAAACTAAAAGCCGGCGTTTTCAAATTCCTCCGGTTTGAAGAGCGTCTTCGAAAAGCTCCGTTTTCGTGACGGATTAGTGTGCAAGGTAGGCCCAACCGTGAAAATAAAGATGCGTTTTCAAATTTCCCCGGCGTAGTGTGGACCGGGCCTGAAAGACATTGCGACTGACGAATTTAAGTGCATGTCACTATGCAAAAAGAAAAAAAAAAAGACCTGACCTCGCCAATTCTTGATATTTCTTGGGAAGTTTCCTTGATTTTCAAACTTCCTTCCTTCATCTTCTGCTGCACCAAATTCTGAATGTTTTCAACCCGTTCCTCCAGAGCGTTACATTTTTTCTCGGCCTTCAGTGCCTCCGGTCCTGTAAGCGCCACGATCCTTCGGATTCCTTTAGAAATGGCTTCCTCGGACACGAGGACGAATGATTTCATGTGTCCTGTGCGCTGCAGATGCCTGGTGTGAATGAGTAAAGAAAACAACAAGTTTATCCAATGAAGTCTGTTTGTTTTACCCTCCATTTCTCATCATTCTTTATGATTGGCTCCAGTTCAACATGTACTAACCAATCACAAAGGCTTTGTTTCCTCAACCAATCCGGTGCAAAACCAAGACAATTCGCCATTTGCCTGACGCGTTTTTTTCCCGCGCTTGAATCGTTACAGGCTCTAGATTGAGTTTTAATTGGTTTGTAACAGCGACTTAACCATAATTGAACTAACTAGTGACTTTTACGCAAGAAGGTGAATAGATAACGCAAGTAATCGAGAAACAATGACAAGGTAAAAACTAGTTCACTTACGTTCCCCCGCAGAACTCAACAGAGTATTTGTATCCGGCCTGAGGATCATCTTGCAGGTCATCAAATGAAGCGCCAATCGACAACACACGGACTGGATCAGGGTAAACCTGCACAGAAGAACGCACTCACAATCAGCGTGTCTGTCTGTCCGTCTGCCTGCCTGCCTGTCTGTCAATCGGCGTTAGCCGCACAGCAGTGAACACTCATAATCTGTGAAACCACAGCCTTCACGATACCACGAACATTTAGTTATGACGTTCTAGCTTTAANGTGTAGTTGAGATGATTTCCGCTGAACATTCGAGCAATAATGGAAAATTAACGTTATAAAAAAAAAACCTCATAACATGGTAATATTTTGAATACAGCAAAGAAAAACTTATCGAGACTTATCAAGCTGACCCCATGAGAGAAAATTGAATTTGAATACTTTCGGCAATCGATTGGATATCTGCTCTATCAAATTTACTTCCTTCAATTTTGTCACTTATTTTCCACAAATTGCCTATTTTGTCACCGTTACATATGGCATTAGTTAAAATTAGTTGCCAGTTTGTTGTTAATTGTCGTTTGAATCACTGGGACTGTTGAACCACAATTGCTACTGACTTCAAATTCATTGCTATACAAGTTCCCTGAGAACGTACTGTCATTTCTCTCTGCTGATGATTAACATACATTTCCAGTATTGATTGAATTCTAAGAAATTGGTGGTAACCAAAGACTTGATTAATTTATTTATTATCCTCACTTGCCTATTTGACGGTGTATTATATATTATTAGGAGAAACTAAAAGTTGATCACCCATATTTAACTTAAAGATCTTGTGACTTACATCATCACCTTCTTTGACCATGAACCCCTGGTCGTATATCTGGCCGCCCTGTTCAGCATAGAAGCATGTTCTGTCCAATACAACTCCACAGTGACTGCCACTGGTTACCTCATTTACAAACTCTTTCTCAAACATGATTGCCTTCACTGTACCAATCACTGGCTCAAATACTGCAGAACAAATCAAGCATGTTATTCCAAATATAAATTTATTTTACAGAAAATAATGTTTGCTCAATTTTTTTTGGTCATCACTCCCAAGCTGGAAGTACAAATTCTCAAAGAAGACGAGCTGTGAAATGCTTGAAGTTGTTTTGCAACACCTTAAGTCCAATCGGTAACAACACATTACCAAAGTAACCTTGTTGCTTGTGGTCTTATTTATTAGCCTAGAACTTCATAATTATTGCCAGTTTCTGAGAGACGCAGCTTTCGTGAGGTCATATTTTTATCACAAGTGTGCCGATCCATCTTCAGACAATAAAATGAAACTTAGTTCACTAAAAGTTGAATTGAATAAATTTATTAAAACTTTCATGTTTTTGTGTAGAACTGTGATGATCGATGATGTCTTCATATCTTTTTCCACAGTTCAAATATATGACCGTTGATATATTCACTTGTAAACATCAGATCTGTTTGCTACAGCTTGTTGTCAAATAACATTTTAAGTTGCTACTTTCAGAGGCTTGCTTACTTTTAGGATTTGCTAAAAGATGCGAAAAACAATCACTGCATTTGGAGAATCACCACATTCCAGGTTCATTACTTCTGGAGCTCAAGTGGCTATCCTTAGTTGCCTCATATCATAGGCTCAATAAAGGTAACATGTATATTTAATATGTCATCTGTTGTCGACCAATGACACAGAAAGCTGGTTGTTATGAAATTATTTTTCCATATCAATGTAGGTCTAGTAAATGTACCTGGAAATTCAATTCTTCACTAGGTCTTTTCCCCTTTGCTCTGTAGCCCTGGCAATGTGAGTGTCACTTACCATAATTTCCTTCTGAGTCAGACTGGTAAATATATTTGGGGCTCTCGTCTGTTGGTGTGAGAATGAAGTCCTTTTGCAACTTGTTAATTGCATGTACATCAAGAGTGATTGCATCATCACTACCAGAGCCTTTTCCTCTTGCAAGTTCCTGGTAAACAAAGGGTCAATAATACTCAGTTTATCATGATTTGGGAATCTCATTTTTCTTTGCCTTTACTGATGAACTAAAGACACTGTTCAGTCTGTTGGAAGGACAAAAGCCACTGACAGTGCAATGCAATAAATGTCACNAGCGAAAAACGCATTTGTCGATTGAGCTTTGAATTTTAGAGTCCGCATGTTATTGAAAGGTGCAGTAAACAATTAAAAGAAAAAATTGAGCAGAAGTAGTTAAAATTCTGACAATTAAAAAGCAGTGAATACTTATGCAAGTTAGTACACTACAGATCACACAACAAAGACCAAGTTTTTCTGAATCTTTACCAGCCAAACTCAAATGTAAGGACACTGAAAGGTTCCATGAACACTTCGATGCACAAAATGATGTGATCACAGTTAGAGTGGCTTGGCTATAAAGTAGCTTGCAAGATTAATAATGGTTTTCTTGGATTATTTTGAAATTCTGGCTGTAGTAACTATTTTAAGTCCTACTTACCAGTTGCGGGTCTTTCTTCAATTCAGGGAAGAAGTCACCCTGCAAATTGAACATGTCATGACTACATTAGTGATGTGACATCTTTTTTGCTTAATATGAATTGAAATGATATCCTGTTTTTTTCTTTAAATATTGATCACTATATTATTCATGACAAAGTTAGTGAGTCAATAATGTTGAACAGATTGGTAATAGACTTTTATGCAAAACAAAACTGATGCATCTACATTAAGACTTATTTCTATAAAATAGCATGGCTGACAATTAAAAGTACATGAGCAATGGTTAACTACTAACCAGGGAATCAACAGCCACTGTCACCAAGGAAGCAATAAATCCAGGAGGCACACTGAGCTTCTCTGTACCAAAACGAACACATCTTCTCAATATCCGCCTTAGCACATACCTGTAATCCAAAATCAACATTAACAAAACATCATTATGATATCGATTTTAATTAAATACAAAGAAATGGAGTGGCTCTAGCTGTCAATTTGCAAGAGGTGGACACCTTTAAGAGAGTTCAGTTACAGAGAAACAAGGGCAATTCAGTTGGGATCAGTACAGTCAGGTCCATCTCAGGGCGGTGTCCATCACAGGGAGGTGCCTGCCTTATGTCAGTATTGTGCAGTGAGGCCCACTGTGAGAGAGAGAGATGTCAACTAAACTTTGAATTTGTTATCCATAGGAGATAGGAAAATCCCAGTCTTACCCTCTGCCGGTGTTGTCGGGTTTACCGCCATCTGTGATGGCCATTGTTAGTGTCCTGACATGATCAGCAACAACTCTATAGGCCATGTCAATGCCATCTTTGTCCTCAGCACCTACAAGGCCCTGATATGGTCTGATGCCAGTGGCCTACAATAAACCAGACAATGGAATGGATCTTATCTTATTTCACAGGGAAGATTTAATATTACAGATACCTGACTTATTTTCATGTGAGTACGAGCACTGATCAACTTTCAGGCTCTTCTGATCCTTGGGAACAGAACCACATCCCAGTATGTTAAATACATTCTATTTTTAACCTTAGTTAGCAGTAGTATTTTTAATCTTAGCTCTAAGTGTAGTTTTGAACCTTAGTTGTAGTCTTAAGTTTTTGACTTTTATTACTTCTGTATTTTAGACATTTAAATGAGGTTAAATATACTTATTTAACTTAGTTAACAACGAGGAGTGTGTTGCTCAGTGGTTAGCNGTTGTAATTATTATTATTATTTAATTTAAAAACATTTTTAATATACAAAATAATATACAGAATAATATACAGAAGATAACTCATTAGAAAGACTGTCATAAATTTAAAAATACAATGTAAAAGTAACAATTTTCATCATCGAATATCTTGCTTTCGTATTAAGTTTGTTTTAAAATTATTGTTCATGGTTCCTTAGATCAGAGGAAATCCGAGATAAAAGAATAGCAATAATAATAAAACTAAAATACTAAAATCTTGCTAGTTCCTTATTGATTTCAAAGGCCTTACTAATCCTAAATGTGAAGATTATTACAATTTCTAATCCTAAAATCTGGCTAGGTCCTTATCGATTCCAAAGTCATTATCTGTAAAGTTCAGTGGAGCTCTTTGCATACAATGTGAGCCTCTCAAGCATAGCACCACAGACCTCAAGAGGGCAAATGAGACTTTGGCACAAATCCATGACATTGTAGTACTATAATCCTCTCCCTTCTTGGTAGATAAAAGTTCAGCCAGTCTACTTTGATACCTCTTGCATTCATCTGCCATTCCCCCGGTGGTAGCAAATACCAGTGGAGTAAAGGAGCCTTGTTCAACTTCTAGCACCCTGCTAGCGTACATTCTCTACTTCTCACTCTCATGCTGGCATTAGATTTCTTTTGTGGTGATGCCTCTAAAGACTCTGTATCATTGTCATTGTCATTGTCATTATCATTATTATTGCTTTGATGAACAACACAATGTTTTCGAAGTTCATTATCATCATCATTATTATTATTATTATTATTACTATTATTATTATTTAGTAGATACCTTATGAATTGCTTCAAAAAATGGTTGAAAGAGATCTGTGTCATAGTTGGACATCTTTCCCTGAGTGATAGATGTTAAACGTTCCAATCCCATACCAGTATCTACGTGTTTGCTTGGCAAGGTTTTGAGACTGCCATCCGATTCCCTGAGGAACGACATCAAGAGAGTAAGCTGGAGTATAATGAGGACTGGAGATGGGCATTATCCTTAATGATCCCTGCTTTTAGATACCCTGTATTTGAAACCTTTAAGTATGATATTAATCCATGATTAAAGGTTGGCTCAGTACTTACAGACTTTTTGTCAATGGAAGTTCATAATGAAGGAAAAGAAAATAAATAAAACGGAAGTCTTTCTTAACAATGTACCAATCTGAATGCAAGTAAATGCTAATCTTGAAAGAAGCCAGTGGAATTCTGACTTGTGATTTAACATGTTCCTTTCACAAATTGGCCATTCTTAGTCTGACTGCACAATCTAGAGTTTTAATATCTCCTGCAACACATGCGTCATTTAGCAAATAATGACTGAAATCTAACCTGTTAAACTGTATAAACACAAGGTTCCACACTTCAAGGACGGTGGGGTCATCCATGTTCACAAGAAAGGCAGCATCACGCCCACCAATCCTGTCATAGTGAATCTCAGAGCAAGGTCCACACGGACCAGTCTCGCCCATCTCCCAAAAGTTGTCCTTCATACCAAACGGGAGGACTCGTTCAGGTGGAATACTGTGATGTATATGCAAAAAAAAATGTGTCAGCAGTCAACAATTTTTTGCATACATGTATTAGGTTATTGTTGACTTGCTACATGTACGCTGGGTTCTTCAAATAGAAATGGTGAAAGAAACCTCTGATTTGAGTATCAAGACTTGTTTTGTAGCACGAGTCCAGTTCATGCCAAGCCCAAGTCAATGTTCAAACTTGGCTTATACTACCGCACCTGTGAGGCTTAGACTGGACCTAACACTGTGGTCATTGATTATGATAATATCTAAATTTACCAGTAAACCTGCAAGGTTCTCAAAGCTATAAAACAACATATACTTACTTAAGATCTTACTAAATAAATGTAGATGTAGATGTAGATGTAGATGTAGAAGATAATAAAAAGTTCCTCTGGCCAAAGCAAACATATAATGTACATCAAACACCCCTGAACAGAACAGTATAAATGGCTATCTCGATGAATTTCTGATAACTGTAATGTCATGTCATTCCCAATCTTATAATACATTTTTGCTACATGATCTGCCATAACATGTTTCAATGTTTTCATACAGTACCCCATGTCAAGCCAAAACTGTCGGGTATCTTCATCAGATTCAAGGCCTTCTGCACCTCCAAAGTATGTCACATAAAGACTATCTTTTGGCATGCCATACTTCACTGTTAGTAATTCCCAAGCAAACTCTATGGCCTCTTTCTAAACAAACAGAGAAATGACAAAGCAAATTGTACAGTTCTATATCCACTCTATACAGGTAGAATGCAATTTGCACAAACTGAGGAGGCGGGGAACTCAAATGCCAAATTTTTAAAGGAAACTATGAGGCTAAACTAGAAATTCCAGAAAGGTGGGGGTGGGGGTTTCAAACCAAAAACCACTATGGGAGGGGCATAAGGATATTCTCCGAAGCAACACATAAGTCAAAAGATCTGAATTTTATCCTTTACTTCCTGTTATTCCAGAACAGGTGGAAGGCACCACCAAGTTTCTTATGAAGAAATGGTGTCAGAGGTAGTATTAGTCGTTAGATGTTTCTTCAAAATTATAAATAATTGGGATATACATGTACACAAAGCATAGCAAGCTAAGTCTACTGCATTTCTTCACATCTGAGGTCTGGGATGATTTTTGCTGGTTGCACATCAAGGCTTCTGGATAATACTAAAATGCCATGCTCAAGAGAAGATTGGATCTCCATCAACTAGAGCTGACAATGGGATGAAGTGTCAATCTTCTGAAAACCTTCATCTGTCTCATTCATCTATAGATAAACAGTAACTCAATGTTGACCACCCCTCTACTAGTAATCATAAAACAAAACTAGCACAACATCACTAAAATATCCAAGTTGTTTTTGTAGGTGAACTGACCAGATTATACACTCACTTTAAAGTAATCTCCAAAAGACCAATTTCCCAACATTTCAAAGAATGTATGGTGGTAGACATCCTTGCCAACATCATCCAAGTCATTGTGTTTACCACCTGCACGGATACACTTCTGGCTGTTTACAGCACGCTTGAGTTTGGACAGATCACTATTTGGATCCACAGTTCCCAAAAAGAGTGGCTTGTACTGTGCAAAAAATGAAAAATAAATTGATAATAAATAAATTGATAAGCTCTTTTATTCTGTAATTGAGTATATGTTGGTTACAGACCCTGTTGATCTAAAATAACGAAAGATCTTTAAAGATGACTTCAAGCAGATGTGATAGTTCACTGCTTCAGAAATGAAAATAACCAGTACAAAAGTTTGAAACATCAGGTCTATACTGATATGTAAATTTAAAAACCAAAACAACTGAAAACAGGGTTAAGGTTTCAAAAACAAGGCAGCACACCCCCAACAAAACCTCAACGGACACCCCTGATCAAGCCGTCACTCAAGCCCACCCCCTTTGATTCCCGCGGGTCTGTGCCTCTCTCCCTCACCCTGAGTAGTTTTCTGCTCCCTAGATATTTCTCACTATAATATCTAAGACAGTCAAAGACATTGAGAGGTTGCTTACAGTCTAAATGCAAGAGGTGGCATGCAAATTACGACACGTGGGTGAAATAAACTTATTCAAGTGATGTACTTATGACTTCGAAAAAAGATGATAACGTGGACATAATTATGTTCTCACTACACCATCATGGCATTAAAAAATTACAGGACGATTGTTTTAACCAGATAGGAATGCGGAAATATCTATGTTTACCTGATTCATCCCAGCATTTGCAAACAGCAAGGTTGGGTCTTCATGTGGAATGGTAGACGAGGAAGGGACAAAGGTGTGTTCGTATTTCTCCACAAAGAAATCCACGAACATCTGTCGTAAATCCTTTGCAGTCAAGCTAGGATCCATCCTAATGGAGGCACGGTACGTTCTCTTCCAGAGACTGCGAAACGCGATCAAATTCAAAGAAGAAAAGAATCGATTTGGTCGAAAACACCGGCCGAAAATCATGAAACTTCTATGGAAATCATGCAATCCATGGGGGTAGCCGCTGACTACCGAAACTGCTCTCCCCAGTCTTTACGGATAAATTTCCCCGGGGAACCTGCAAACAAACTTTGGACTTTTGAACACGTACCTAATGGCGAAAAGTGACGCAGAAAGGTGCGTTGCTAAAATGAAACTTCCTCAGTTTTCTGTAGAGGAGGTGCAACAGCACAACACGGAGACAGATTTTTGGTTGATCCACCGTGGAAAGGTGTATGATATTAGCGAATTTCTCGAGCGCCATCCCGGTGGGAAAGATATTTTGTTGTCCTTTGCTGGCCAAGATGTGACAACATTGATGACTCAAGATGATCCTCACAAACACACTACGTTTGCGTATGGATGGCTTAGAAAATACCTCATAGGACGTTTAAAAGGCGAGGTAAGTAAAATTGTCCAACCCTGATAGCGTTTGGTTTCTCGTGAGGCAGTTTGCTTATAAGCATTTGAAGGCGTTTTCCCCCAGGAGAGAGGTCAATCGAGCGCCAAATTTGCTTGTGTAGGGCTCTTTACTAAAGCTTTTAATAAATTTATAGCATGTCACATTCTCGTTAATGATCACCGTTGTTAAAAAGCTTTCAGTGAGTGTCTTTTGTGTTGTTTTGTAGTGAAATATTACAGCTTTGTCTGTTTCATACTGCATGATCTAGTTGAGCTGGACGCTGTTTTCTCTACGCTTGACTTCCTGCTCATTGTACCATTGCATAAGCTAAGTTTATAATTGGATTCTCCGTTAGATTTTAATATAATTTCAAAACAACGTTAGAGCGGTGAAATACTGAACGGAAAGAAGGTCTATAGGTACTGCTGTTTGAAATAAGGTTTTTTTTACTGCAGAGTTACAGACATTCCGTGCTGGAAAAATATGTCTTGATATTTTATGCTGCCTCACGAATGTTTTAAAATGCCGGTTTCTCATGGAAATTTAACAAGAATGCTTTTCATAGGGTGTTTATAATTATAAAATGTTTTGTCAACCCTAGGGCTTTTTCTCTCTCAGTGGAATAAAAAAATGTTAAAATATCCATTTGAAAGCACCAGTTATGAATTTAGTATTTGTTATTATCACCAGGTGTAACTTAATCGCCAAAAAATATCTAATTACAATAACAAACGTGTTGTGTTGGTAAAGTGTCCAGAGGCATAAGGATTGTTCTGGAAGTAAGTGTAACAGCTAGTCAAGTGTTTTTACACAGCAGTTTCAATTTCTCAACCAGAGAAGAGGGTTTTGCATAATTGAACGCCATAAAACTACGCTGTGAACTTCCTCCCTCCAGATGTAAGCAAAACACATGCACATATTTTAGCTAACTAGTTTTGAAGCCAAGGTTACATGTAAGACTCCAAACCATGTTTACAAATAGAATAATACATATATATTTCCCATACCTGTAAACAACATTTATCTATTTGCAAAGGTTCTTTGCTCCTTGTTTTGCTGAATTTTGTGAGGGAATAAGAAGTTTGTGAATTCTTAATATTTAGAATATTCAAGGTTTTCTAGAAAGAGCTGTTCACTTCTTCATGTACATGTATTTACAACATATGCTTAAATTATGCTAATTGTTTTCACTGTGCAATTGAGCAGTAACAATCAAAAGGTACAGCCAACAATGCATTCAGTTTGTGATTAGTTAGCTTATAATAATTAGACATGAGCACAGTTACAGTAGGCTTGTAATCGTTGGTTTTATCTGTCATGTCATGAAAAATGCAAATCATAACCAATCAATAAATAAAGTCCAGAATCTGGGATGTGATATATGTTTGATATATATATAAACAATCTCACCAAGATTTAGGTCTGTGTGGTTTTTCATACGTACATTATTCAAAGAACTGTTTGACACTAATAATTATTTATAGAGCTTTGTATTGAGATGCCATGTTGGTGTCGCTTGGAGGGGCACCGTTATGACAGCTGTAAATTATTGTGTGGACATGCATGATGAGGATTGATCGAAATATCTGTCACTGAGTTGTGCCGTTTAATTGAATTAACTTAATTATTACTCTAGAACTGTGACACATTGAAATTATTACTTTGTCTAATGTAAGGACTGTTCAGTCAGCAAAAATCTAAAAGGTAATTTATAATCTTTTGAGCTACATGATAGTCTCCTTGGGTCACCATTTTAATGTTACATATCATAAGAGCATGTAAATGCAAAGGTGCTTAAATTACATAGTGTAGAATAACTATTGTCTGAGTGGGAGATAATTGGCTCAAGGTCCATGCATCCTGGCCAAGAGCCAATATCCTCCCATCTGGCTCAACCCAATTCAGTCAACTTATGTATTATGTCACACCACCTGTAGTAAACTTGTTGGAAGACGTGAAAATTTATTGGTGAAGTGTATGTCTTACAGTATAAATGAATGAATTAATAACTATTGTTGACTTGTGCAGTATTTGACAGAATTTTTTAGACCAAGTTATACATCAAAATGTTTTTCTATAGGATTGAGAGAGTGGCACTATACTTTGACACAATGTTGGTGAAATTAAAGAATTACCATGCACTTTCCTTTTTTTCCAGGTTTTTTTTTTTTTTTTTCATTTCTCATATGCCTTTGTGTGTTACTTGTTCCCTTCAGCGTGAAAAGCTAGTGGCTAAAAGCCTATTTTTTTTCAAATGATCTATTGTCATTTTTTAAGTATAATTTTATTGGAAATATATTTTATGATGGTTGTACGTCATCTAGTTTTTTATCAGGTGTTTTTGTTGTGATACATGTGATATTTGTTATTCCCAATGCTCTCACTAATTACAAAAAGCCAAGCGATGTCTGACAGGGTGAGGGTTGCTACATGTACTTTTGCAATTCATCAGTGTCACAATTCCTAAGTCTTATCACTACATGTATGACTTGTACTTTCTGTGGGCCATAAATTTCATTGAGAATGTTTTACTGTGGACGAAATATTTTTGTGGTCACTTTGATACTAGTTGTTGTTAATACATATTAATAAATATATAATTATTTGAATTTATATAATGTACGTGCATTGTTGGCTCCTTTTGACTTAAATTCTCCTTATAAATAACAGGAAAATGACAAAGAATTTGACTCAACTACTAAAGAAAATCTGCCTATGGATGGATGGAGGGAGGTATGAAATGTTGAATTATATGTTCTACGATTATTTTGGGGGTAAACTATTTATGGTAAATGATTCCTTTTATTCATGAACTGTATATTTAATGTACATGTATGTGTTACATGTAAGTACACTGTAGCATATTTTGAAGTAATGACTTTTTTGCTGCACACTGGTATTTCAAAAGATAGCATAGTAGTTAGTTTTTGTTAACACTCACCTACGGGATACACTGTGGCAATTAAATCCAGTTACCTGTTAAACAGCCATAGTCTATGTAACAGACAACTGCAGCAAAGTGTGATACTCATGAACATGTTAAATGGTTCAGTATTGCTAACTTTCCTCCTCTCTGAAAACACTCTGCGTTGTGCTACTTTTTCAGGATCTCATTGATTGGAACAAAGCAATTCTGCCGCAAGTGGGAAAACTTGGTGCAGACTACCTAAACTGGGTTCACTCACCTGTTGATCGACCCTTGAGACTCTTTGAGTCTGACTTTGTGGAGTTCTTTTCAATGACGCCCTGGTACGTGGTGCCGATAATCTGGATACCAACAATGCTCTATGTGTGCTTTGTGGCCTACCAAGATCTGACTGCTAGGAATGGAATTGGAAACATTAATCCAGATTTTCTAAATTCAGAGCCCAAGGTCTTTTCTGTGTTTACGTTGCTGTTCCTGATAGGCATTCTTGTTTGGTCTTTAGTAGAATATTGCTTGCATCGTTTCTTGTTTCACCTAATCAATCATGTCCCTGCTGATTCGCCATTTTGGATCACAATCCACTTCTTTCTTCATGGCCAACATCATAAGGTTAGTGATACACTTGTATTTTGTTTTGTTTTGTTTTTTAATTATAGTTTCTCTAATTTTAAAACATAGGCATGCAAGGCGTGCAAGAGTTATTATTTTTTTTGTGAAGTCTTGGAGATAGGAGCATTCATGGAGCTGTTTACAGCAATGATGTGGTTAATTTGACAAGTTTTTTTGGTTGCGATGTACAGCAAGAAAGAAACTAGGAATTTATGATGTACATATGATGTTACATTGGTAATGGTAAGATAGCTAAATAGTAAGCCATAAAATGTTTGACTGAACAAACTACAGTAATCCGACACATCTCCAGATTAATATAGATACCATCTTATTTTTTTATTTGATGCGTTCTTTGATACAACCCACACTGT